TCGACAGAAGTTTGAAATCCTGCAATTGTTCATGGAAGTCGCCTTTGAAGAGTTGAGATCTTTGTTGCATAAACCATGGCCATGCATGACCTTTCTAAGTATGTGCATACTTTTCTCATGCAAATTTCTATTTTGCACATGCAAACTTCTATTTTGCACATGCAAACTTCTATTTTTCTCATGCAAACTTCTATTCTACACACAGTCTACAGCAGGGATGTCCAACCTTGGCAACCTTAAGACCTACGGGCTTCAACTTCCAGGCTGGCTGAGATATTCTGAGAGTTGAAACACCACAAGTCTTTAGCTCATGACCAACCGCAATTTTACAGTTTTTTGCTGCAGTCATTACGTGAACCACAGGGTTATGAAGGGAGTCCAACAGTGTTCTTCAGTTGCAAAAAAGAAAACAAAAGCCAATGCAGTCCTAGGCTGCATTAACAGAGGGATAAAAACCAAGACATGTGAAGTCTTAGTACCACTTTATAATGTCTTGGTAAGATCTTAGAATACTGCATCCAGATGTTGAGATACTAGAAAGAGTGCAGAGAAGAGCAACTAAGATGATTCGGGGACTGGAAGCTAAAGCATACGATGAACGGTTGCTGGAATTGGGTATCTCTAGTTTAATGAAAAGAAGGACTAGGGGAGACATGATAGCAGTCTTCCAATATCTCAGGGGTTGCCACAAAGAAGAGGGAGTCAAGCTATTCGCCAAAGCACCTGAAGGCAGGACAAGAAACAATGGGTGGAAAGTTATCAAGGAGAGAAGCAACCTAGAACTAAGGAGGAATTTCCTGACAGTTAGAACAATTAACCAGTGGAACAATTTGCCCCCAGAAGTGGTAAATGCTCCAACACTGGAAGTTTTCAAGAAGAGATTGGACAACCATTTGTCTGAAATGATATAGGGCTTCCTGCCTGAGCTGGGGGTTGGACTAGAAGACCTCCAAGGTCCCTTCCAACTCTTATTCTATATGTATGTTGCCAAGCTCCCAAATTTTGATGACATGACTGTGGGGTTGCCATGAGACTCGTAGGTGGAAAGCGGTCGTAAGTCACTTTTTTCAGTGCCGTTGTAACTATCAGCAGCCACTAAATGAATGGTCATGAGTCAAGGATAACAGTATAGACTCCCCGGCTAGTTAAACTGTCTTCTACGTAGAGGAGTGGGATGAATTAAACAACAGCTGGAAACAGCAAGCAAAGAAATATATTTCAGCGAACCGGAGGATGCTGTTTTGAGTTCTTACAGGTGTTTCCCTCCCAAATGTCTTCAGGAATGTTTCACATTGCTCTGTAGCATTTAGCTATTAAAGGGGACAGCTCTTGACAGATCTTTCTTCTGAGAATCTGCTTAAGCCTGGCATTTGGCTGCACACCAGGTAATGTATTTTTACTCCCACCAGCAATCCTGGAGGTATCGTTTCAAAAGCAATAGGAATGCTGAAATTCTTAGGTTGCTTTCTGCATTATGACCTGTTGAATGCTAGGGGAGGAAAATGGAAAGAAAGAAAGAAAAAAAACCTTAACAGATGGAATGTTGAATTTATGGCATGTTAATTGAGACATGCTACCTATTTTAAATCGCCGTTCCTGCCATACAATTGGTGTTAGGGTGGCATACAGTGTGTGATCACAATCTGATGGAAATGGTAAGCTCCTCACTAGGATTTGCAACATAAATTGGAAGTAGAATCCAATTTTCACTGCAGAATGGCTCGCAGGCCCCCGATCAACCTATATTATATTTTTTAGCTAACCATTACAGGGTCCTGTCACAACTTCAGAAGTATTTAGTGTTACGATTGTGGTTCCTGCTCTTCCTGATGTCTACAACCAAGGCTGAAGTTTGTTGTTGTGAGTTCTCCAATTGCTTCTAGTTGAATTGCTACTGATCAGAAGATGTAGGCATGAGTAGAAATAGCCCCGTAGTGCTTTATGGCACTCTCTGAATGGGTTTACAGAGTCAGCACATTGCCCCCAACAGTCTGAGTCCTCATTTTATTGACCATGGAAGGATGGAAGGCTGAGTCACCCTTGAGCTGGTCTGCATTGAACCATTGGCAGTGAGCAGAGTGGGCCTGCAATATTGCATTCTAACCACTGCACTCTTGGAATGACTGAGTAGAGGTTTCTGATCCAGGATTGGCCACAATTGGTGCAGAAGATTATATTGTACAAAGATCCTCCTAGTCATGGTTGTCGCCTGTTTTTCAACTAGAATGCCAACTCATAAAATAATTCTATGATCTTTTTAGAGTTGCCAACAGAAAGGGAGGGGGGAGCAGTGTGACAGCTTGCAACCGAAAGTGCATTCCATAAATATTTTCAAAGATAGTAACTAGGTGACCGAAGTTTCTGCCGGGCAAAATTCTAACTGGAAAGCATGATTGATAACTCTTGGCTATGAATGTGTCCCATTGGAGAATACAAATTATGATACACCTAGGGGGTGGGGGGAAAACCTGGGTCAAGGGTGACAATGAATGATGTCTCTCAGAGTCGGCTACACCCAGGCAATGCTGCATCTTTTAACTCCCAATAAGTCCTTTTGAAGTTTTGGAAATCTGGCTCTAGATTCATGATTTAAATGGGGTTAAGTGTTGGAATCCTGACAGCTAGCTGACTGAGACACATCACTCATTGTCACCCTTGACCCTGGTTTTCCCCGCCCCCTGGGTGTATCATAATTCATATTCTCCAATGGGACACATCCATAGCCAAAAGTCATCAATCATGCTCTCCTGACATAGAAGTTGCGAGTCTAGGAAAAACGCCAAATTGTTCATTACTAATACAACCCATCCAGCAATGAACAATCTCTGGATGGCCTCCCAAATCCTCAATCTTGCTAAGACTGAGCCTATGTTTGTTGGACTACTGTGATGTGCTCTATCTTGGGCTGTCCTTGAAGGCCACTTCTAAGTTAAAACTGGTCTAGTATGAAGCAGTCCAAGAAATTATGGGCCCAATACCACTATTCCATAAGTTTTGTGGATTACCAGTGGACTTCTGAATGAAAACCAAGATACATGTGTGCCCCAAAAGCCCTTCATCACTCAAGTCCTGAATATTTGTAGAACCTCCAATTATCTAGCTTATAAGATCTGGCAGGGTTGACAGCTCTGGATGTCAATCAAATTTTGTCATCTTTTAGGGCTCACCTTTATTCTTCCCTACAACAATTCCTGCCTTATGGATCAGCCTCCACCTGGAATTCAGTGGACCTGGCCCCGCTGATAGTAAGTCACTGCTTCTCAATCTTGAAGATATGTAGACTTCAATTCCATGTTGAAATCTACACAACATGGCTGGCTGGAGAATATCGGGAGTTGAAGTCCACTCATCTTCGAGCTCTCAAAACTTCCTCTTCGTGCTGCTTCAGAATAGTACATGAGCTTGTTGTGAGCATGAATTGTGTGCCTGTCTTTTCATGCAGTATGTTTTATTCCATTGTTTTATCATTTTCCTTTGTACAGGATGTTTTTAACCCCTGTGAGCTGCTCAGAGTCATCTGGTGAGCAGGCAACCATCTAACGTGACTAAAAAAAGATCTCCCCGAATGCACAAGAGGGGAATGTTCAAAAAAAAAAACTGACCTCCCAACTCAAGAGCATTGAGTTGCTTCTTGAAAGGGCACTCACTCTCAAGAGATAAACAATCCACATTTCCAGGGTAGACGGGCCATGTTCCCTCTTGTTTACACATAGATTTTCATCTTTTGTTCCTGTTGTGCAACTTAGGCACTGAATAACTGATTTCCAGAGGCAACAGAAAATAGAAAACAGGAGTGCCCTTTTTTTCATATTTCCCATCGCCCCTTTTATCCTCAGCTTTCAGGACCAGTGTATCCATGTCCAGCAAAGATACCCTATCATTTCAAGAACCAAACAGGTTAAAATTTGTGGGCAGCATATTTCTCCATTCCCTGCGTAATTTTCCAACCTGATGCCCTTTAGATGTGTTTGTAGATAGAGAATAACCTGGCTATTTAATTTCTATTCTCTGTCGCTCTAGGGGAAGATAAGGGTAGCTAATAATAACAACAGATAGAAAAATAAATAAAAATAAACATTAATTAAAATAGACCTCAATGAAATTCATAACAATAAATTATCTAGTAGAAATATCAACTCTTTGGCTAAGGATGGTGAGAAACGAGGCCAAGGGAAGCTAAACTACAACGCCCAAAATTCTTGGCTGGCATGGCCATTCTGCCAACGTGGGCTAGGCTGGATGCCCCAGATTGGATTCCTTCTCTAAGCACTCACTCGTTTCTCTTACAAGTTCACAATGAAGTCCCTAAATGGGCTTAGCCTTACATTTAAGCTTTTAAAGATTTTAAGGTTGCAAGGATAAAAATAAAAGAACAGCAGAATGATGGATAATACTTTGAGCTTCCTGGCAAAGCTGCAGGCTAAAGCTATTAAATAACATTATCATCATCATCATCATCAGAGGACATTCCTGCAGAAGTAGGAAGTATTAATACATAGGAGATCATAGGAAGGAATTTTAGGTTAGGAAACGCCATGTTCCCTCATCACAACTTGTATATTGTCTCATTGTTGGCATGTTCCTGGGAGGGATAAGCAAAGAACATTGACAGTGTATGCCAAGAGTGTACTGTATATTCCCAACAGGCTCACCCCAGATGTGGAAGTCACCTCAGCTGGCCAGTGAAAGCCAAAGGGAACCTCTACTGGGCAACAGTGATATACTAGAGATGGATGATTATTTTAGTGACAATGGCAAAATCATCCATTCAGACTGTGCAGGAGACCACAATGGGAAACCTATATATTGTAACTAATATACCCCACATGGATAGAAATATCTTTTCTTTTTTTTAAAAAAAGGAAGACTTAAAGGATCGTGAGAGACAGTTGGTCAAGGAGAAGATATGCTCAGTAAGATTCAACATCAGCTGGATGACATAATCAATCAATCAATCAATGAATCAAGCAAGCAACCCTCAACCCCAGGGATGTACGTACTAGTTTCGGCAGTTTCATATTCACTATCTCTCAGCAATTCAAAGATGTCCACTTCTACTTTGGCTTTCCCTGCCCTCTCAGGGGCACGATTGATCCGGTTCTTGGCCAGCGTGATGGAGAGCCGTTCCCCTCGGCTGCATTCCATGGGGTCGTCCAAAATGGCGGCTGAAAAAAAAACCAGACAGAAAATTTAGCCGGTCAAGGAATGGTGCTCTACCCAGATTCAAAACGGAGGCACAACAGAATCGAATCGTATAATTCCAAACTCCAGTAGAGGAAAGTTAGTCATTTTAATTGCACAATCTAAAAAGACCATTTTAGGGACAGGCCATACCAAAGAGTTATGTTCTGCATTCTCATTTGTGCATTGCAGCAAACCAAGAAGAAATACGGTGTATTTTGCCGGGTTTAAGAATGTTTGTCCAAATGAAATTTAACATGAATCTCGCTGTTCAGCAGTGAGTTAGAAACTCCTGCAATATCATTATCCGAGCCTTGTGAATAAAATATGTAGTTCTTGCTTGTCTAATCAAGTTAAACCAGAGAAGTTGGTCAGAAAAGGTACATTAATCATTCGGTACATGAATTATTCTTTCTATATTTCATGTTTACTCAAGACCTTTCCTCCTCCCCTTTTATTCTAGCCGTCATGATGGTTGATCGGCCCTTCGTTCCTGAAAATACAGGGCAAACAAAAAAAAAAGTCTTAGTATCAGCCACCAGTGTGAAAAGGGAGTAATTTTGCACCAGACACTGACTGTCATTTTTGCCTTTGATTTTTGTTTTGGGGTGGATGGGTGCTCTTTGAAAAAGGCAACATTTGTCTGAAATCATACGCTGCTGCTGAAATTTCATGAACCATCCAGGTCCAAAACAAATTTCTTTCCTGACCCTACCTGGAAAAGCGTTGACTGAGTACGGCACCATCTGCTTACAAAGCAGATACTTCCTGCTCTGCAGAGCAAGTCTTCTTCTGCAGTCTAAGATAAACCCTCATGTTTTTTTTCTGTAAGTCTATAGGAATTCCTCAAAAAGCAACTGCATGGATAGCTTTTCCCAAAGCCACATTGCATATCTCCGAAGAATGTGAGACTCGTTCACATAATCGCAGTTCTAGTCAGTCAACCATCCTCTCTCCTTCTCCAAGTTGTTTCTTCTCTATCTATTACCACGGGATAGAATCTGAAGGACTGGTTCACTTGAACTTACTCACCCAGCCAGCCAGCCATCTATCCATTAATTCCCTTTTTTTACGCACTGGTTGTTCCCACCGTAAAAAAAAATAAGATTGGGAAGTTTGAAATTCAGCATGTTGTGGGAATATGAGAGCATTTGCACCAAGACAAATTCCTTGTGTGTCCAATCACACTTGGCCAATAAAGAATTCTATTCTATCCTATATGAGTTTTTGAACACGGTATGTTTTATAGACACAGACATGGTGGCACAGTGGTTGGAATGCAGCACTGCAGGCTACTTCTGCTGACTGCCAGCTGCCTGCAATTCAGAAGTTCGATCCTGACCAGCTCAAGGTTGACTCAGCTTTCCATCCTTCCGAGGTCGGTAAAATAAGGACCCAAATTGTTGGGGGGCAATAGGCTGACTTTGTAAACCACTTAAAGAGGGCTGTAAAGCACTGTGTATATAAGTCTAAATGCTATTGCTAGCTTCCTCCCTCCCTCCCTTTCCTCCCTGTGGTGAGGATGCAGTATTGCAGGCTAATTCTGCCAATTGCCAGCAGTTCGATCCTGACCTGCTCAAGGTGGATTCAGTCTTCCAACCTTCCGAGGTGGGTAAAACGAGCCAGATTATTGGGAGTAAGAGGCTGACTTTGTAAACTGCTCAGAAAGGGCTGGAAAGCCCTGTGAAGTGGTATATAAGTCTAAGTGCTGCTATTGCCATTATACAGGGAAGTTCTCAACCTCTAACCATTCATTTTGTGAACATATGAAATTACAACGGTACTGAGAAAAACGACTGCATTGACTCGGCTTAAAAACCATGACCTGGATGACTGAGAATCTCTATAAACATTTAGCTGAGGTCTATATTAACATTTTATGGGATGCTTGACTGTTTGCTGAATTGTTAGAATTAGTGGTAGTTTCAAGTACCTTAAACTAAGGTTAAGATTGGGCTTCCCTGAAGTTGTGGGTTCAGTTTGCTTTGATTAGGAAGAAACCACTTTGGATATATTGATCTATTGAGTTAGTCTTGAATCTTCCCCATATATCCCTTTCTCCTCATTTTGTCAATTCCTGTAGCATTGGATCTGTGAGAACATAATTAGTCTACATTGTTGGTGCCGATTTCCAGGCAGTGCTTCCAATAACCCCTTTATTTGAAAACAGATGCCAAATCATGCTTGTGCGTGCTCAGCTTGATAGCGCAATCAAATTCGATTAGTTTTTCTTCGAGTTAAAATTGCCACCTCGTGTTTCAAAGCTTCTCCCCCCCATTTCGTGCCAACTCTTCCAAACTGACCCCTCTTAAATAACCTGCAGGGTCTGATTTTTAGACATTTAAGAAGGCCCTTCAAATGCTGCTTACAAAGTCTTCTCTTTTATTATTTTCCGTAGGGTGTGATTAAAGCTAATGGCTCGAATTGTTTGTATTGATTGTTATACCGTATTAGGAAATCTTACCTTGTTTGTTATGTCATTGTGATATGGATTTATATTGCATACTAACTAGACAATGTTGAGTCATCATTTCAGAGATATTTCCTTGCCTACACAGAGAAATAGAATGATCACAGATGGACCAAAAAACAGAAGGATTGACTTCTGATTTCCTGCTGCGTTCCCCGTTGACTTTCCTTGTAGGAAGATGACAGCAAGCACTAGAAATAATGATCACATGACCACAGCTGACTACCACAGGGTGGCCATAATTCTGCCAAATATCAATCCCATGAAAGTCATAAGTCCCAGTTTTTGGATGCATTCTTTAACTTAGCTTATTTGAGGTATATAGCTCAAATATTATTGTCCTACGGTTTACAATTGCGCCTAATGGAAGGTTACAATCAAACAGACACAAGCGTTTTACCGGTATAGAGATTTTCTTAAAAAATTAATCTGTACTGAAAACACATAACTAAGACAGCAGTAACATGAGAGAAATTTGAGTTCAAGGCACACGGATAATTTGAGCAAGCATCTCAGCCCTCCCCGCTTCTCACAAAGATAAAGAAAAGGAGAGGGAGGCACACTCAGAATTGCAAGATTCGGCTACTCTAAACGTAAAATAAAAGTAGTTATTAGCATTCATAACTCTGGTTCCCTGGTCTGGTCTGCCTCGAAAAGCTGACACTCATTGAGATAGGAAACTCATCCAATTATAGATGTTTCCATAAATCTTACTTAGACTGCAGTTTAATGCAATATCTGCACTTAATCAGTGCAGACAGGTTTTGAAGATATTCCTAGCGTTTCAAAAAGCTGGCTAAGCCAATGTATGCCATGGAGAAGACTACCGATATAACATCTGGACATCCGCCCAGAGCTTCTGTGTTGTGGCCTGTCGGCTGCCAGCCCCTCCAGCAGCCAAATCAGATGAGGAGGAGGCCTGAGAGTTAGGGGTCAGCATCAGGGCAACCTGAGAGCTCCGAGGGGGAAGAGGGAATGGAGCTGAAGAGAGAGAGAGAGAGAAGAGAGGAGAGAGAGAGAGAGAGAGAGAGAGATGGAGCCTGGACCATCCATCAGCCCTCCGATGGAGAGTCAACAGCCCCCAGGTCTGGAGGTGGCTGATGAGGAAGAGAAGGAACAGCTGGGTCCAGTGCCTGATGCGTGGATGCGCAAGAAGGCAGAGGAGAGGAGTGGAAATCTATGGGCTGGTCCTTGGGAAAGAAGAGCCACCACTGTTAGTGAGGCCCCACCCTAGATCTGGGGATAAAAGGCAGGGGGTGGAGATGAATAGATGTGGTAGACAACTATTCATCTTCTGGCCAGCTGGACTTGTTAGCCTGCGAGAGAAACTTTTTGCCAGGGCTGCCAGCACTCCTAATAAAAGAATCGTTTAAATTCACGTCGAAGATCTGTCGTGTTTGGGGAGCTGGGTCAGAAGATTCAGTTACCACCATCCATCCTATGACAGATCCCAGGATGCATTGAGACACCTAGTGAAGAAAAAAAACGGAACGTTGATCTTGGTTTTGTTGATTAGAAAGATTTGGTGTTATAGAAATGGCTAGTTATATACTAATGTATAAAAGCAAAAAGTTGAGGCTGGAGTATGTTATTTTGTACTGTGCTAGGAAGGGTTGGAAGTCAATGCCCCCCTTTCTTTCTTTCTTTCTTTCTTTCCTTCCTTCCTTCCTTCCTTCCTTCCTTCCTTCCTTCCTTCCTTTTCCTTCCTTCCTTCCTTCTTTCCTTGATTCCTTCCTTCCTTCCTTCCTTCCCTTCCTTCTTTCTTTCATTCTTTCTTTCTTTCCTTCCTTCTTTCTTTCCTTCCTTCTTTCCTTTCTTTCCTTCCTCTTTCTTTCCTTCCTTCTTTCCTTTCTTTCCTTCTTTTTTTCTTTCTTTCCTTCCTTCTTTCCTTTCTTCCCTTCCTTCCTTCTTTCTTTCCTTGATTCCTTCCTTCCTTCATTCCTTCCTTCCTTTCCTTCCTTCTTTCCTTCTTTCTTTCCTTCCTTCCTTCTTTCTTTCATTCTTTCTTTCCTTCCTTTCTTCTCCTTCCTTCCTTCCTTCCTTCCTTCCTTCCTTCCTTCCTTCCTTCCTTCCCTCTTCCTATCTTTCTTTTTTTCTTTTTCTTTCTTCGCCCTTGTATTTTACATACCCTTTCGCCCATCCCCTTTCCCGACCTTAATTTCCTACTTTTCTTTCTTTTTTTTGTGTATTTTGTATTTTATATAATAACATAAAAATGATATTTAAAAAGAGACACCTAGAATTTCCAACCACTACAGCTTCGTCTTGACTTGGATCAATTCTTTGCTTTCCTATCTGCAACCGAGCACAGGGCTCATCCAGTTAGGATGCTGTGGGGGAAGTTAGAGATCTGAATGCTGCCATGGGGCAGGGTTGAGCTCCTGTCCTTTGTTCCAGCTAGAAGGCACATGAGAGGAGACCTCAACTAGGTGTCCCTCGGACAACGGTGATGTCACCGGTTAATCCTTTCAACCTGGAACTACCTTGGTGCTTCTGACAGGAGGGCACTACAAT